ACAGGAATGCCAAAGTAGACAGCACTGTAATATCTGAGCCGTTTCCTGTATTTAAAGGTATTTCCTCATTTCACTAATGTGGTGTTGTTTCAGTAAACTAAAACTACTCAGTCTCATTAAAGAAGAGTAACTTTTGAGTCTGCAGGATCATAATAATAATCAGAACATATTAGAAAACTACACAGTGCATTTTTCAAGACTTTCATCATAAATCTTTCCTTAATGCACAAATACCAGCAGCTTTCTAGAAACTGGGAATCTCTGGAGAAGATCTCAGAAATTGGATGTTCTTGTTGTATTAAGAAACCTTCGACATATGGTACACACCTGAAGCAAACATTGTTATGGTTTTTCTGAGATCCAGTAAGAGAATGCAACATTGGTTTTATTGTAACTCAAATGAGCGTATATTTTACTTGGACTTGTATTGATGGACTTTTGGCATGTATGTATAGTACAATGAATGGCAGCAATTACACTTTTTTCTAGGTGCAAATATTCTTGTGTATATGAAGATTATAATAGCAATCTTGTTATTTTAACCAGTTATAGTATATTTGACTAAAATGTCATCCAAAAGCTATCCATGTCACAGAATACATGTTTAAAGGAAAAGTTTCACTCGGCACAAAATTACTGCATTACTGTAGAAACAAGAACAGCTTTATTTACTCAATACCGCTTGTGTTGAAGCACGTTCCTGATCCATCTGACATCTCATCCGCCATGATTGTTCATTACTGTCTGTTAGCCTCCTGTAATGTTCAGATTGCTCTCTTTTGTGCTGTTTTTCTGTAACTTTTCTGTAAAATTTGCGCTGGGAACAGACTTGTCATTTTTATATGAAAAATGGGATGGTGGCTGTGCTTAGAGTGAGATGTTATTAGTCCTGTTAATGTGTCAGAAGTAATAAATCAAATCACTCATTCACGTGCACATCACGCTCACATTAATACAAAACGTGCGGAAACAAGCAGGAGTTTGTGTTTCAGTAGCCCAGATATTAATTTAATATTCACAAGCAAGGACCACACCACAACCAAATATGTAAATGAATTGTGAACAAATGTGACGAGTTGCATTTTCACTAGCAAGGACCACACCACAACCAAATATGTAAATTAATAGTTTATTGTTCAGAATGTTAGGGATGAGTTGGAAGAGGATGAAAAGGTAAAGGGGACAGGATGATGGATCAGATTGATCTGGGTGTCTGGAATTGTTGGCCCGGAGAGACTCAGGATGGGGGTATCATCTCGTTTGTATAGCCTATTTAGGCCAGACTATTAGGACCCCCCGATGCAACCTGAAAAGAATAAGGATAGCTGATTTGATTAAAGGGGAGGGAAGGGTGGGTTCGAGAGAAAGAGCCGCGGCATGAGGCGGCTCGATATATAACGGATTCGGGAAGTGAGGTGATTGGTAGAGACGTGGCCTCGCTCCCGAACCTCAGTTAACTAGTTAGCTCCCTTTATTTCAACTTTTTGCTGTTTTTTATTTATATAAGGTTTCTGTCTAAAGAACTTAAATAGCTCCAATTGTAAGACTCATTTGGCAAGTCGAAAGAGTCTAAAAAGCTCCTTCCACTCAAAATATATTCAATTTGTGCATCATATTTTTTACGTTTCCCTTCATCCGTACGTTCACTTCTGATGCCAAGGAAAAGGTGGGCGTAGAAAGGCAGACATTACTTCTGGTCACCATAATATTTCAATTCATCACCAGCAACCTTGTGGTTGCCAGACTGAACCGTATTCAAAGGTTTAGGAAAATGCAGCATGTAAATAGAAAAACGAATGAGTAAGACTGTTGAAGATGTTCCAAAGGACTGAAAGAGAAAGTGTAGCATTTTCTTGCCAGGCTGTGAATATATATGCTGCTTTCAGTTTACTTCATCAAACAGCAGCTTAGAAAGTTATTAATGGTGACTGTTATTTTAAATGACTCTCAGAAAACATAAGTCTTAAGGTTTGTCTTTCATCATTCGCACAAACATCTTCAGTCTTCAATCTGCTGCTGCCAACCGCTGCACGTGTCAATGGAAAGTTGAGGCAACTCCCAGCCTCATTTGTCCTGCATGCTGTCCAAAGACAGTCCTCTATGCCTTATTTAGTCTAATGGTACATATAAACTGCTTTCTGTTTCAAACAACCTTCTGTTTAGGCTTGTACTGTATGAGAAGTTTGAGCTTGGTGTGAGACAAAAATGATACCATCCTGCACAGAAGACCTTTTCTTTGTGAGGGAAGAAGTAAAGAGCACTGTTCTTTAGACAGAGAGACACTAGAGATATTTAGAACCCGAAATAGTTGAATAAAGTAGTTATTTTCGTTTTCTTTGCGCACAAAAAATATTCTCGTAGCTTTATGTCACATGGACTATTTTAATGATGTCCTTACTACCTTTCTGGGCCTTGAACGTGTCAGTTGCGTTGCTGTCTATGCAGGCTCAGAAAGCTCTTGGATTTCATCAAAAATATCTTAATTTGTGTTCCGAAGATGAATGAAGGTCTTTTGGGTTTGGAACTAAATGAGGGTGAGTTATTTAATGACAGAATTTTCATTTTTGGGTGAACTATACCTTTAATTCTTGGCATAGATTTAACAAGATGCTGGAAACATTCCTCAAAGATTTTGGTCCATATTGACAAGATAGCATCACGCAGTTGCTGCAGATTTGCCAGCTGCACATACATGATGCAAATCTCCAGTTCCATCACATCCCATTGGTGGAAAGGTTTGCAAAGGTTCTCTACTGTATATTGAGATCTGGTGTGGAGGCCATTTGAGTTTAGTGAACTCATTGTCATATTCAAGAAACCAGTTTGAGATGACTTGTGGTCATGAACATGGTCAGCAACAACACTCAGATAAGCTGTGGTGTTTAAACAATGCTCAGTTGGTACTAAGAGTCCCAAAGTGTGCAAAGAAAACATCTCCCACATCCTTACACCATCACCAGCCTGAACCGTTTATACAAATCAGGATCGATCTATGCTTTCATAATGTTTACGCCAAATTCTGACTTGACCATGCAAATGTTGCACCAGAAATCGAGACTTGTCAG